AGAGACAATCCCCAAGGCCACCACTGTCCTTAGCGAGCTCCCCCTAAAACAAAATGGCATAAGCTCCCCTATTTCAGAGTTCTCTGTCTGTCACTTGTCAGGACCCTGTGGAAGAGCCAAATGGGTTTTTGGTCTGGATCGGTTCCAAAGTAGGCGGCTCCCCGCCACCCCCTCCTCACTGCAGCCGAGTACCAACAGAGGGGACGAATGACAGGCTCGCTCATTTTTATCTTTACTAAAATATTTTCGTGCTGGGTAAAGCGGGCCCAGCCGGGAGGGCAAGAAATTCCCTGCAAATGAACAAATGATACAATGTAACCGTGACTCCAACAAGGTAGAAGCTTTTAGATCTTTCCCTTGGCCTTGTGTGCGTTTGCATTGTAATCAATGTATTGGATGTATCGCATTGTAATCAATATGTTGGATACAGTTTTTTTCTTTTCTCTCCAATACAACGTAGTACCTCATTATTTATATCAGAATGAAATAGGAGGTCCAGTCCCGTCCCAGACGCGAGATATAAGTGAGCATGTTATATTCTCTATAGATATAACTACATTTATTATTGACTTTAGAAGCATAGATTTTTCCAATTAAAAGGACCATACATCCCCTTTGTGCACACGGAACATACAGCCACATCTATTGAGGAACCAATACATTTGGGCATGTTGAGGATTACAAAACCCAGATTCCGCAGCTGCAGCGTAAGCTCAAGTTAAACACCGATTTCCACCCCACCCCCCCCATGACTATAAAGAAGGCTGCAGACCCGGACTCTATCCTAAGACCAAACTGGCTTTCACATGGAAATACGGTGGTGTTACCTTCATCAATAAAATATTCCCATATCCAAACATCTTTTCCCAACGTGTTTGGACAATTTGAGCAGAAACATCCATTTGGAGCTACGGCCCCTGTCACCTCGTTTCACTACTTTCCTCCCTTTCTTTCACTAACTCAAAATGCCTTTGACCCAAACGGATGCTTCCTCTGGATGCCTAAGCCCGCGCCCCGTGCCTCCCCCACGCCCAAGCCCTGATTCTACTAAAAAGTCCGGAATGGCCCTGATTGCTATCGGTGTCCCTGACTATATGAGAGAGGCCTGGCCACCACCTGGGAGCTTTGAGTC